CGATTTGAAGCCGCTACGCTCCTCGTGTGTGTGGTGTCAGTGTGACTCTGAGCTGCTCTGTCAGATCGTAATCACCAAACATCAACAACGCTACGATAACGGCAAATAAATCAGAGCGTCAGGGACAGATGAAGTGACAGACACAGAGGCGCAAGATACAAACTCAGGATATAGCAACAATAATGAGAAGTCTTCATTCCACACCTCTCGTAAAGTGGTAAATTTAAAGTGCAGCATCTCATCTATATTATCCATAGAAATAGTCCTCAGCAAATAATAACATCCAGTCCACAAAACAAAGTTATTAAACCAGTTTGAAGCATTCTCTAAAAGTAAAAAGTGTCTGTTTACATCCACACAGCGCACAGATCGAGGTGAATCTGCAGATTGGTGATAGTGACTCTACTTCCTGTGGACTTTATCGCCAATCTTTTATGCTTTAAAAATCACGTATCTGAACTACTGCACCACATTTCACAAATAATAATAACACAATTTTGACTTGTATCTTAACTAGAAGCGCAGTGCTTTGACCTTTTGAGCACTTAAGAGTCTCAAAGCCAGTGGTTTTACTGTAGACAAGAAACAGCTGATGCGATCGCGCTCACGACTTTATAGCCTGTTTTACGCAGCCATATTCCACTGCCGCCTGTGCGATCGGAGATTTTAAGTCTCATTAGGTTCTCTTCGTGTCTGTGGTGTGCGCTTTTTGTCGCACGTTTAAAAATCCTGCACTGTGTGGTGGCCTTTACACTCATTTACAGATGTTTTTATGGCTTAAGAATATATGGAATGGTAGTGTCACCAGTTTGAAAGCTTCATAGTACAACTTCAATTGAAGATATTTTGGCCATTCATAGCTGATTCAGACCCCAAAAGAACCGGCCAAATGAAAGTCTTTTTATTTGTGGCGATTCCTGTAATTCCCTTCCATTATCCTGTGTGTGTCTGATAAACCATCTCGGTCCATCTGTAATTAACGCTCGCCTGGTCTCGTCCGAGGCTTTGTGATCAGTGAGCTCTTTTACAATTAACTCTAAGGTGAAGAAATACAGCCTCATCTTTTCTTTTATCATCCTCTTATTTCTAATTCATTCTCTCGATTTCTGCTCCATAAATCACACAGCCGTGAGTCCACTCCTAAACTTTTAACATGGAATAAAAGGCGCTCTACCTGATTTTACCGTCTTTGCCTTTTAAAACGTTTACAGTGGTCCAAAATTATTCCGAGCATTTGAATTATTCACCACGATGAGTTTATAAGCACTTTTTGCAACTTTCGGCGACCAGACGGAGCTTTGTTGTCACACTGTTAACAACAAGAGCACACCAGCCTTACTTTTTGTTTGCATCCAATAAAAACGCTTTATAGATGCACAAAGCGGTGTCATTTCTATCTATGTTCTGCTCCTGTCTGCTCCTGTCAGTGCTCTGCTCCTGCCAGAGTCACTACAGTGAGGCAGACTGCAGAGGGCCCCAAAGGACGTGGCTTTCTCAACTGACTGGATTTTAATCAATGTTTAAAAAAAAAAAATCCTGCCAAGGGAATCTCAGACCTTATTTTGCCTTGACTTTGATAGTGTCTAGAGACAGTTCTGGCTCCTGTCTGTGCCCTGCTCCTGCCTGCTCCTGCCTGTGTCCTGTATTCCTGTAGAGTGGATGAGGTCGGTAATGCTGCCGTCTCTCTCTCTCGTGTGGGTTCAGTGGTGGGTTAACGGCGATAAGCCCCACTGCAGAATTACTCCTGATTATTGTGGATGAAAATAGTACATTTACATTGATGTGCCCTGCTCCTGTCTGCCCCATTCAAACTCCCTGTCATAGACTACGCTGTAAAACAATAATGGCAGTTCAAATTACACACATTCGCATATACTTTTTCTTTTTTCCTTCTAATAGTGAGCTTGTAGCTTTAAGGCGCTGGTGTGCAGTCTGCAACCAACTTGTCTCCAGCTCATCTCCATCTTATATTTTTGCCTGAAATGTTCCACAGTATGTCATTAAACGTATCTACCTCGCATATATTCAATTACAGGTGCTTTTATTGTTTAATCAAGGGCCACATATTGAAACACAGACGAAGCAGAGGGCTGATTGAGGGCCGCAGACTGGTGCTCAATACAGTGAATCATTGAAATATGTGCATGTTTAACACGTTAGAATGAGCATCAGTCTTTATTTATGCTAAAATCCTTAAAACCGTACACTAAATATTAAATATTGGCTTTATCAAGGTAGATTTTCAAAAACACTTGCAGTGAAAAGTTCATTTTTAGTTGATGCAAGGATATTTAGGCCAATTCATCTGGAAGCCTGAGGGCCAGGAAAAACTTTGTCTTAGGGCCGCATTTGGTCCACGGGCCATAGTTTGGACATGCCTGGTTTAAAACCTTGAGAAAATGTGCATTATTATTGTAAGCAGGGGTTACCTCTCCACAGATCTGACCTGTAACCTGGCCAGATGGCTGTCTCTGTAACAGTTGGCAATATATGTAATAGTTCACTTGTTATACCTATAGATGGCGCTGGTGTACTTAGATTTCATGTGAGAGTTTTCTCGATTTCAGTTTTATATTTGGTTTCTTATTATTTGTTAATCATTTATAAGGACATATATGAGCAAAACTATTCTCTATACCAGGGGTGTCCAAACTTTTCATCAAGGGCCACATATCTAAACACAGATGAAGCAGAGGTCTGATCGAGGGCCGTAGACTGGAGCTCAGTACAGTGAATAATTGAAATATGTGCATGTTTAACACGTTAGAATGAGCCATCAGACTTTATTCATGCTAAGATCCTTAAAACTACACACTAAATATTAAATACTGGCTTTATCAAGGTAGATTTTCAAAACACTTGCAGTAAAAAGTTCATTTTTAATTGAAACAATGTCATTTGGGCCAGTTCACCTGGAAGCCTGAGGGCCAAGAAAAATTTGTCTGAGGGCCGCATTTGGCCTACGGGCCATAGTTTGGACATACCTGCTCTATACTCTAGAGAAGTTAAAAAGTTAAAAAGTTAGTTAGTCAAAAAAAAAAAAAACACTTCCTTTTCCGGTTTACTTTTACGGTAACGTGAAGTCATACCCGACAGCGCTAATCTTAAATGTTTAGTTCACTGGTTTGTTTACTAGCAGGCCAAAGTGGTATGTATGTTTCTGTGTTAACGTGCAACTTTGTGTATATAATATGAGCTAGATCTTATGTTCTACTGAATGTGTTTGCTAGCTGTACGGGAAGGGTCTCCAACCTGTAGCCTATTACACTTGTAAATGTATCACTTTGAATCCCAACTTTATGCACTAACAAATGGACAGTGGTTTATGTTTTATAGCCATCTAACTGTACCCAAAGGCTTGCCCTCTCTCTTATAATTGTCTTAATTTCTTGCTGCCATTAAAATAAGTAGCTCTTTGGCATTTTTGTTTTGTAAAGTGTGGAGACCCCTGCGCTACAGTGTGAACTGTGATGTCACCAAGACATTAGTTGAAAAAGAACCTTGTGTCTCTCGTATTTGCGGACGAGCCGGCATAGTCTCCATGGAGATAAATGTGTGAAATGGGCAAGGAGGTGACGACCCTCCACCAGCAACATCAAGCATTGGACCTTTAAAGTTGCACTATTTAAACTACTTTTCTAATGGGTGTTTGCTTCCTGAATTTCTATGAAAATGTTGAAACAGCATTAAATCCAACGCACTTGTATTTATGAAATAACAGCCAATTTCTAAAAATAAACTTGGCCCTGAGCCCTTACCTGCTTGTCTCCGTGGAGATAGATACGTTTAATGCCACACTGTGAACCAGAAGTTACATAGTACAGCTTTAACATTTGAGTTACAGGGAAGTTGGTTTTGATCCACACTTGCTCTGGCACATACTGCCCTTGTGTCTTTGGGTAAAACACGTCTCTGCTTTCTGTGTGCACTAAACTCAGCCTAAATATGCAGGGTTTGTGTGTTAAACATGTGTGAATGAAGCAAAACACAACTCCAGGTCTGTTTGTGATGAGGAAACAACATTTTGACTTTGGACCAGTTCTCAAAATGTCGCCTATAAACAGGAAGCTGTAACCCTTGAATAAGCAATACAACCTGCAGTTTTATGTTTACTCTTGCTGGGAATCTAAAGCAGAAGTACTAGTTCTCATCTGGTGACCTTTGACCCTTTGTAGACTGCCCTTTCTGATCCTGCACAAATGAACAGAGCAGTTTAATATTGTCTGTCCACAGCGGCCGTCTCGGTGTGGGCTCTGATCCTGGAGATTACAGAGGGGGTTTATGGTGGTTTATTTCTGTTTAAAGTGTCAGGATGAGGTGAGGGTGAGGGCTCTCGTGCCACAGGCCACAGACAATAAAAGAGAAAGCTTTTTCTTGATAAACATGTGGAGCTAATAAGACTCTAGTCTCATTCATCTTTAAAAACTATAGAAAGATTTTCAAGAGCAGATCTATTCATGGGCTTCAGTTTTTTTCAACATTTTAAAAAGGCATTTCTCTTTTAATAGATATATATTTTGTTAATATAATAATAATTTTGTTATAAATTGTTCATCACTATGGCAACAGTCATAATTTTCATCACCCTCAGAGTATATTGTAAAAGCAGTATTTTATGACACCTTATTTTATTGATTGTGAGTCTGGAAGTGAGAGGTGTGAGCAGCGCTCTGTTTGCCAAGGTCTAACCCAGAACTAAACCAGGTCTTACTAAGGGCTGGACCAAACCCAAACATGCAGCATAGGTGAAATCCTCCAGCTAAGGTAGTCCTGACCAAGACTATCTCAAGATCTGGAGATTGGTCCCTGGGTACTTTGGTGCCCACTGCTCCTGAGGAAATGCCACAGCGGCACTGAAGAATGAGTGTCCCCTACGGTGACAATAAAGTGTACCTCACCTTAACACAGGACAAAACCAAGTGTAATAAAGGAGCACTAAACCACTTTCTCCCATTGCAAACCTCATTCTAATTGTGTATTTGTTGTTTTTGTCATTCCAGAGGTGTCATGGATGAACTGGTGCCTGGTGGGCTCGTGTCTCTTCAGTCTGGTTCTTCTTCTCTTCTTCAGGGAGACGTATGACCGCCTCTACCTGGACGTCTTTGTGTCAGTGTAAAACTACAGAGAAAGACTGAAAGAACTCAAATTATTCCTAATATTATTAATTTTATTATTGCACAAAGTGGACGAAACAAGGGACTTTGGGAATTGTACATGTGTATATGATGCATTCATGTCGACTGTCTTATGTCTGTTTGTATGGAGACAGGTGGAGTTTTAAAGGTCCTGTATGACGCTATTTTCTCATCTGTTACAATGTTTCCTCATCATAAACATACCTGCAATTGTGTTTTCTCTGTTCCACCTTGTGATGTCATGTGGTAATACAGTTAGTGCTCCAATGTGTTTTTAAACTCCATACACCTTCACTAGAATCATTTGGATAACTTCAGCCCTGGAATTGCCAGTCTACTGAGCTAAAGTTAAAAGGAGCTGTTAACTTGAACACTACTGCATTTTGAGCTTTAGATGTGTGACAGACGAATAGTAGAGGATCACTCCAACATGTGTGTGCAACAAAACACAACATCAGGGATGATTTTGATGAGGATACAATGTGCTACCTGACTCACCAGAGTCTATCTTCTGTAATATAGGACCTTTACTGGGCCATGTTGTTGTTTACAAATAATGTAAATATCTCTGTTTGGAGCTAATAAGGAAGTGCTAAATGTCATGAGCCAATCAGAAGGCTTGTCTGAATCTATAAGGGAAGAAGAACATGTGTGACTAGCCAAAATAGAAATCTACCAGCAATTGGCTAATGTTAGCAGCAAGACCTGTTACAATGTTCATACTAGTAAAACTGGATCAATCTGTTTTAGTCGAATTATACATTAAAGCTACACTATGTAACTTTTCAGGAAATATCTGGAATGTTATGGGTTGCCTGTAGTGTTCCAGAATATGGCATTAACTCATCTGTCTTGCAGGGGTTGTTATAGCAAAAAAATCTTGAAAATCTTGCAGTCTTACTGTGAGCGGGCTCTCTGCACAGATCTACTACTACTACTACTACTACTACTACTACTACTACTACTACTACTACTACTACTACTACTACTACTACTACTACTACTACTACTACTACTACTACTACTACTACTACTACTACTACTACTACTACTACTACTACTACTACTACTACTACTACTACTACTACTACTACCACCAGGTGGAGTGTACTGCTTGTCTTCATGGAGAAGTTTAATGCCACTGTTGCATTGCAAGTAAAGCTATAAAGTCTCCATGGAGACAAGCAGATAGCAAACCCTCAACCAGAAAAGTTACACAGTGCAGCTTTAACTGGTCAACATTAACATAATCATAACATAATGCCATTTATTTTCAGTTTGATGTCTCTGTCTTACATTTACATGTTTTAAAATAGTGTTCACATTTGTCTTGGTTTGGTCCCAGTTCAGCTGTGATATTGGACTTAGTCTAGTCCTGGTCTAGTTCCAGGTTTAGTCCCACTTTAGTCCTGATTTGTATATATTGTCTGTGTGTAAATATGAATACAGCCTAAGACTCCTGATGCCACCCTATATTCATAAAACAAATGTGAAATATGAAGCTGAACAAAACGACTGCACAACATGAGAAGATGTGACATTTGATAACGGTTTTGTATTTAAAAATTACCACATTGTTGTAATATTTTAACACACTTTTTGACTAAGGTTTATTTAAATGAAAACAAAAATGCCTTAATTTTAAGTTAACCACTAAACCAAAACCACACAAGATAAAACTGTAGGATGTAAGGAAAAACAGGAATACTCTTTTTTTATATATTTTTTATTCGGATATGGAGAATTTCATCTTTTTCTCTATTTATTTTCTTGCAGTGGAGCTCAACAGTGACCCAGCCCTCAAATCTGTTTCTGAACATAGCTGCTTAGCGTCTTTGAACTCTTTAATATTTGAATTTTTGGAAATGTCTATGGGAAAAATGAGTGGAAAATTGACTTCCAGATCAAGAGCGGGTGGTCGCTGTTGAGTTCCACAACGATATTACACTAAGTATTTTTTTTTTGTTTGCAATCTATCGTGCAGGACTGTTAACATCGGAAATTTGTATCCAGTTTTCTTAGTATACCAGAAGCAATTTCAAAATTCCCACTGCTTTCAGGTCGTGTCATCGTTTTAAATATGCCATTCATGTGTATAGTAATTTCAGATGTAATATAGTAACACATTTTTGTGTTTAATGCTTTTTGTTATTGTCCGGAGCTTGCCAGTATGTTTTTACACGATCCCATTTGAACAGAAATAGCTGCATTTTCTAAGCAGCTCCTCTGTCCCAACACCAGCCAAAAACGATGTCACGTTTAAGGGAAATTTAAAGGTTTTTATATTTACGTATTTTTTGTTGAAGACACTTTAAGATGGAATGTGTAACTTTTCTGGTGCAGAGTCCGTCGAATGTTTCTCTCCATGGTGTTATTTCTTTGTCCGGAATGTTCCACAGTATGGCATTAAACCTTTCGTTCTGCTTGGAGACCAAACTAGGGCATGTTACAGGTCAGATCTGTGGAGAGGCGACCCCGCTCACAGTCAGAATACGTTTTTCTAGGTATTTTTGAGCTATAAAACCACCTGTAATTGATTAAATGTGAGGTAGAAATGCTTAATGTCTTATTGTGGAACATTCTGGACAAAGCAGTAACATCTCCATGGAGACAAACAGGCGATGGACACTCCACCAGAAATGTTGCACAATGCATCTTTATTAAGTGAAGTGGAATACTGTGATTTTTTTAACGTGAAGAGGCTGAATTCACACTACAAGATTAGACTGAATTTAGTTAAAGTCACGCTATGTCACTTTCCGGTGGGGGCCTGCATGCATGTTTTAACAGAGAAGTTGTTGGTTTGGCTGGAATGTTCCACAGTATGGCATTAAGTGGATCTCTCTTGCGTTTATTCAGTTACAAGTGTTGTCATCGTTTCTCTCCGTAGATCTGACCTGTAACTTTGCCCTGGCAGTGGTCTTCTCTTGGTCTGGAAATGTTTAATGCCATACTGCGGAACTTTCCAGGCAACGCAATGACAAGCAAGCAGTGTTCCCTCCCCTAGAAAAGTGACTGAGTCCAACTTTAAATATTTTTAAGTATTTTGTTATATATTTAGTTTTCTGAGCCCATGAGGAATATCATAATGTGGAATGAACCAATTAGAAAAATATGCACTTTTTGAGGGATACATTTTAGAATTCTATGCAGATTACTATTTTATTATTCTTGTTTTTGTTGTTTTTTTCTTTAACACGGCTTAACCAACCCTCACATGTTGTTATCATAGATTCAAAGATAAACCCCAAAACTTAACAAATTGTAATAATTCGATAACAGTGTTGAATTTTGCTTTCATTACAAAGTGCCTATCAGGTTGGACTCCTCCTTTCACTAAAACACAATTAAGAGATGTAAGATTCTACTAAAAATTATTTGCGTGTTTTTTTTTTACTTCCTGGTTGGAAATCATAACATCATGCCAGGGTTTTCCATCGCTGTTACCTAGCAACACTGGGCCTAAACAAATTGACAAAATGATAAGAAAACAACTTTATTTTGTTGAAATGTTTTAAAGGGACAGTCCGGAATTTTGGACATAGGACTTCATTTCCTAGTGAGCCAGAGTGTTGGAGACGTGTGGAGACACTTTTTTAAATATTCCATCCAGTCCTTGTATTTGCAGAGGTCACTGGTGCTAGGCTAGCACATGTCAATGGCCATAGTTAGCCTGCCACTAGAAACAGACTTACCCACTCCACAAAACAGCCAAAGCAAATCTATTATTACGCCAGACTGCCGATGTGAATGTCTGTGTCAATAGAATAATTTTAGAAGTAAAACCAACCTTGCATTTGAAGGATTTATGCGTGAGCAGAAGCAGCGAGTTGTACTTCCTGATAGAAAGTTTGGTGGACTGATATATGAGAAAATAGTCCCTCAACATGTGACAATTCATGCGATGCAAGGTTAGTTTTATTTCAAACATTATTCTATCAACACAGACATTTACATCGACAGTCTGGCGTAATAACTGATTTCCTTTGGGTGATTTGTGGAGTGGGTAAGACTGTTTTTAGTGGCAGGCTAACTATGGCCATTGAGATGCACTAGCTTAGCATCAGAGACCTCTGGAAGCACAAGGACCGGATGGAATAAAAGTGTCTCCACACATCTCCAACACTCTGGCTCACTAGGAAATGAGGCCCTATGTCCAAAATTCCGAACTGTCCCTTTAAAGTATTGGGGGGAAAAAAATGTATTTTCTAAATTATGATAAACTAGTGTGATGTCAACTCTCTGCTTCCTGTAATTTTCAATACATTTTTTAACTTTTCTTCACAATCTGCCTCTTGGTTGGTGCAAAACTATAATTAATATTTAAAACATGTATTATTTTACCAAATTATGAAAGATTTGAGAATCCTACGCACTTTAAGTTTTGTAATACTGGACTTATATCTACGTTAATTTACTTAAGGTTCCTATATCTTCTTAAAATACTTCTGTTTATCCATTGTCCCTGTGCTGTGACCCTGCCCTCTGACCTCTCTCCTGTTTCCATGGTGCTTGTTTTTAATGTTTTTATTGACTTGTTGTTGATTAGTGCTCAGAGGGGCCCTGCCTTAACTCCTCTGGTACGCTGAAGTCTACTAACTGTGGCTCTGCTCTCCCTGTGCTCCTTTAAAACCTGTATATTTCTATTGTAAAAATGGGGCCTTGGGAATAAATGTCCTCTTTGTGTGGGGAAGAAATGTGACTGTTCAATTTCCAGCACCTTATTAAAATCATTTTGAGAAAAAAAAATATTGTGGTGGTTTTGTTATTTTATTTCAAAACGTATTTCTACATTTTTTACTCCTAGTTAAAAGTCCTCCGGCTAAAGTACTGTAGTCCTGACTAAGCCCAACTCTAGATCAGTGAAGACATTGAGTTCTTCTCTCAAATAAAACACTGTTCCATGTTATGATGTCATGTGCTAATACAGGAAGAGCTCCACTGTGTTTTTAAACTCCAAGCACCTTCACCTTCACTAGGAATCACTTGGATCATTTCAGTCCTGGATTTGTCAGTCCCCACTGAACAAAAGTGAAAAGGTATACTTGTTAACTTGAAAATTGCCACTTCATGACATCACAAGTTGGAACAGAGCATTTTGAGCTTTGGAGATGTAGACAGACTAATAAACCAGGATTACTCAAACATGTGAATGAAACAAAACACAACTCCAGGGATGTTTTTGAGGCGGTAACAACATTCTGACAAGGCTTAAAGCTCACAAGAGTCAATTTTGCTTAAACTAAGACCTTTAAAGTCACAGTATGTAACTTTTTAGCCAAAAATAGACAGATAAAAGCTGTAGTGTGTGTGTGTGTGTGTGTCTGTGTGTGTCTGTGTGTGCGTGCGTATGTGTTTAGAGCACTAATAAACATGCCTATTCATTGAGTGCCCCTGCATTTCCCCAAACTTGACTCTTATTTGGTCTTAAGCTTGTTACCACAGAAATGTTGTTCTTGTTTGGCTATAATCTTCCTATCTATCCACATGGAGAATGTTCCCAACTGTGGTTTTAATTTTCTGTTTCTGTGGAATCATCCTGAAGTCAGTTAACATCATGTTGCTATCAGCAGTGCTAGAGCAATTTTATGACGCATGTTTACCAGAACATAAAAGACACTTAATTAAAGTTTCACTATGGCTACATTCAGACTACAGGGCTTAGGTCGTTCACATTTCCAATTAAATGTGACTTGTAAGTGATCTCCAGTGTGAAATTTAAATGCCCCAAAAGTGTCCTGCGTGCACATTGGAGGACATGACAACATCACATGCAGCAAGTGTGCTCAGTGTTTACGGAAGTCACCTTAACATGAGCACCTGGAGATTTTAAAGTTGCTGTTGTACCGGAGCCAGAACATGTACATCTTGTTTGTTTTAAGGAGATTGAGAAGGAGAAGGACGAGGTTTTTGGTCATGGCGTTTTGTGGGGCAGTGGCAGCAACATCTGTTGAAAGGAGCGTGTGGGTGTGGAGTCGCAGCCAAGAGCCTGAAAATTCTCTTCCATTATTGTCCACCATGGTTGTGGCTTTCTTCCAGTTTCCGCCTACGTCAGTGCAGAATAGTGACGTTTGTTGCTTGTTGATGACGTGTAGGTTGGATGAATGCGACCTGGCCATTCAGACTGAAGTCGCATGTCAAAAGATCGGATATGTATCGGATTTAGGAGCACATATCCAAGTGGCCTGTGTCGCATTTGAAAAAATCAGATCTGAAAAAATCAGATTTGGGTCACTTCTGGCTGCAGTCTGAATGTAGTCTATGAAAGATTTCTGGTGGAGCATCAGCCATGTGCATGTCTCTATATATGGAGATGATATTGTTTTACCTGGTATGTTCCATGGTACGGCCTTAAACATCTCTGTATCTTAATAAACATGTACTGTATGACGCCACCAGGCCAAGTTTTAGGTCAGATCTATGGAGAGGCAAGGCCTTACACAGTAAAAATGCATGGTATTGGCAATGAATCCAAAATTGTAAGAGTTTAATGCCATACTGTGGCAACATTCCAGGCATCTCCTTGGAGACAAGAGGCTACTGGACTTCCACCAGAAAAGTTACATAGTGCAGCTTTAGTCTATTAGTGGTTTGGCTGAACTGACAGCATTACAAATTTGACCTTTCTTAATTTTATTTCAAACCACACAATCTTGGAGACCCCGCTCCTCATTTATAACTGTAGTAATGTAATGTTGCAGATTTGACCACAGAATTGCTCAAGATTTCATCACATTTTTAAAATTTGTGACTTCATTTGGCTGATTTGGTTTCTCGAACTGGATACAGATGTGAGTGTCCTAACACTGTAACTATAACACTGTTTCTGATTCCTCTGATACTTCTTGTTTATTAGCCTGTCTGAGAAAAAGTCTGCTTCAAATTCAAATGTCAAGGCAAAACGTGTCCAAGACATGTACAATATGTAAGAATTGAAGAACTTCTTGTCAACATGGAGATGTTATTGGTTTGCCTGACACAGGACTGTCCCAGAGAAACAGGACAGATATTTATTTTATTTATACTTTTTTATTTATTTGATTGGAATAGAGCAGGTTAATGGACAAACATGACACAACATGAATGTAAACACACCGGATTGTAGCCTAAGGCTAACTTCCATCTGTTGTCCCAAAGGGGTCACAGGGGATATCGAGATACATACATGTGTTCTTTGCATCTGGAATGCATTTATAGACAGCTTACCCAACTCACTGAGGATTTGAGGAAATTTTTCATTTTTCTAAAATTTTCTATCACAAAATGAAGGTTATCTACACTAAAATGACCACAATTTTTTTTCGTGATATTTCCGGAAGAGCAGACCCTCCAATTATTGGTCCTTAGGGTCACAGTTAACAAAAAAAACAACAAAAAAACACACAAATAAAAAGTATGGCAGACAGTGTCAGGTTCAACCCATTTTCTAGAGCTTTTGAGATTTTGGCTCCCCGAATAAAATGACAAGGACTGATCGGATTAGGAGTTTAATAAAGTTAATTTTGGATTTCAACATATAACACACAGCTATAGGACGATGTTTAAAAAGCTGAATGTTCAATCTTCTTTTTGGTGCGACTGCGTTTAAAAGGTAAAACGTATAACTGTATAATGTGGCTCGAGCTCCTTTAGGACCATATAGTCTCCCACTGTCTCCTCCCGTCCCTCAGCTCCGAGCTTTAAAAACATAATTGACTTTTGTGGGATTATGAAAAACGAGCGCTCCTTCACACGGCTCATTTAGCGCGCCTCTGTCCCCGCCCGCTCCTCCGGCCTATGCATATTAAACACAGAGAGGTGCGCTGGATTAGGAGAGATGGGCTGAAAACGCTAACCTCACTAACACGTGACAGCTGGACGCTAATTTGTTCATTTATCAAGAGGTAATCGCAGGGTACGGTGGCCCACGAGGGGAAAACACAAATATTGGTAAATGAGAGCGACGGAGGGAGATATTGATACAAACCAGAGGCTTTTCTTCACCTTAGATAACATTTAATAACATCAGATCTGACCAGGTTTAAACCAGGTCTAAACCTGGACTAAACCTGGACTAAACCAGGTCTAAACCTGGACTAAACCTGGACTAAACCAGGTCTAAACCTGGACAAAACCTGGACTAAACCAGATCTAAACTAGGACTAAACCAGGTCTAAACCAGAACTAAACCTGGACTAAACCAGAACTAAACCTGGACTAAACCAGGACTAAACCTGGACTAAACCAGATCTAAACTAGGACTAAACCAGAACTAAACCAGGTCTAAACCAGAACTAAACCTGGACTAAACCAGGACTAAACCAGGATTAAACCAGGACTAAACCAAGAACAAACCGGGACTAAACCAGATCTAAACCATGACTAAACCTAGATTAATTCTGGACCAAACAGGAACCAAACCAGAACTAAACTAAGTCAAAACCAAATCTAAAACTGGACAAAAACCAGGACTAAACCAGAACTAAACAAGGACTAAACCAGGTCTAAACCAGGAATAAATAAATCTGGATTAAACCAGTAATAGGCCAGGAATAAACCAGGACTAAACCTGGACCAAACCGGGACTAAACAAAGACTAAATTCTTTCTAAACCAGGACTAAACCAGAACTAAAGCTGGACTAAACAAGGACTAAACCAAGTTTAAACCAGGACTAACCCAGGACTAAACTGGGGTTCAACCCAGACTAAATCTGGACTAAACCAGAACTAATCCTGGACCACACAAGAACCAAACCAAAATTAAACTAAACCCAAGCCAAATCTAAAACTGGACTAAAATAGGTTAAAAAAAACACATTTAAAACTGGTCTAAACCAAGTCTAACCCAGGTCTAAACCAAGTCTAACCCAGGTCTAAACCAAGTCTAAACCAGGTCTAAACCAAGTCTAACCCAGGTCTAAACCAAGTCTAACCCAGGTCTAAACCAAGTCTAACCCAGGTCTAAACCAAGTCTAACCCAGGTAAACTCTAAAACAGGTCTAACCCAGGTCTAAAACAAGTCTAACCCAGGTCTAAAACAGGTCTAACCCAGGTCTAAAACAAGTCTAACCCAGGTCTAAACCAAGTCTAACCCAGGTCTAAACCAAGTCTAACCCAGGTCTAAACCAAGTCTAACCCAGGTCTAAACCAAGTCTAAACCAGGTCGAAAACAGGTCGAAAACTAAACTATACTAATTTTATGCAAAATCATTTTTATTTTGAAGATTTCAGTCATGCATGTTCTAAAATGGTTCTTTCACAAAAACGCTCCTTTGTGCATGTTTATATAATCAGTATTTTCAGTCAATAACAACAGATTTGAACATATTTTAATTGAAATAAATGTGTCCTTCAAACTGTCTCAACAACATCACATGCTGGACATTGAAGAGCCCTCCTCACAGACTGAGCCCAGTTGTTCTCCGTCCCGTGGGTTGACACAGAGTTTGAACCTGTCCTCATCACAGCGTCTGGAGGAGACTGAGTGATGCATTCAGGGTCATTTAAAACGTGGGACTAAATTGTATTACCTTCACAAGATTGAACGGAGGAGAGAGAGCTCCATTAACTTCTCATATAAGGACAGACTACTGCTGCCTACACAAAGACCTATTCCACTGCACAGGTTAAAGGTGCACTGTGGAGCTTTCCTGATTGTCTCCATGGAGAAGTTATTGCTTTGCCTAAAATATTCCACAGTATGGCATTAAAGATGCCCTAAT